CCACCCACGGAGTCAGCTGTTCAAGCAAATGAAATAGCATAATAAAATATATCTATTAAAATATCATTCTTTATTTGAGCTGAGTAAAGAGAGGTACGTCAACAGAGAAACGACCTTTCTTCTCTTTTTTTCTTTTTTTCGTAGGTTTTTACGCACCCTATGGATACAATTTAAATCATTTAGGAGGCAGTCCAATCCGGGCGGAGAGAGATACAACATCCCGGCAGAAATACCGAGAACTTCGATTAAAAAACTCTTGCCACATTCATGTACTACTTTTATTTTCAAGCTTACCTGAAGAGATAAACGCCTGCAAGGGAGCAAACCCTGTTTTCACAAGATCCCCGTTTCTGTCCCTTGTCGTCACGGTAACAGAGGACGCTTTCCCGGCGACACAGCCGCTAAAAGCCTCTCCCCCGGCCGTCGTCTGAGCGGGAACGCTGGGGTTGTCGCAGACCAGCCCGAGCTGAGAAAGAGCCGTTCTCACGGAGACGAACTCCTTATCGTCAAAGTACGCCAAGGGGTTGGTGTCAGGCTGAAGACTCAAGCCACTGTTCACCAACTCACTCAACTGGGAAAATATAATAATGTATGTAACGCAAATCTCACCAACTCAATGCACAAGATCCTCATGTTATGCTCAAAATCCCAGTATTATTATATCGATACATAATTCGCATTTAGTAAAAACAAATAGATTCATCATAAATCACTTCCAGACAAATCTTCCTGCAGTTACGAGTGCCGCAAAACATTTTTCTGTCAAATTGAAAAGAGCTTTAATACACAAAAAGGCTTTAAAAGTAAACATTTTAGTAGACCGAGTTCATTCAGGAGGAAAAGTGCAAGCAACTTTTGTGACCCAAAAAAACTCCCATAAGTATAATACAAGAAAAATAAGCTAAGAGCACGCATAAAGCCAGCCCTACGTACTGCGTACCGCTGCTCTATAAAGCAACAAAAGCTGTTACACATGCAGTTACGAATTTGAAAAGGCAAGCGAAATGTTCGATTTTAAAATCTGAGAGGCGGTCCGGTTCATTTGCCGCGCCCTTATCAACAATTTTACAGCTAGCTTGGAGTCTTCACAGTATATTAAAAGTACTCTGCTCGAAAATAACTTGAAATGTTTGTAGAAGGGTACTAAGATGAACTGACAACAACTACAGCAACAATAACAACTACAACAATAATAACAAAAATAACAATAACAACAAATACAACAATAACAAATAGCAACAATAGTGGCAACAATAATAACATTACATGTCGGACGTTGAAGGATGATGAATTCATCTTTGACAACAACAACAACGACGACGACGACAACGACAACGCCAACAACAACAACAACAATAACAACAACAAACATAGTAGCAACAACAGCATATTTTGGTGTAGAAGGATGCTAAATTCATCTTTATAAACAACAACAATAACAACAACAACAACAACAACAACAACAACAACAACAGCAACAACAACAACAACAACAACAATTAATTACAGTTGTTTTGTTCGTTTGAGTAAAGAGAATGACATTGACACAATAACGGCCGTTAATTAGTGTAGGGGAAAAGTAAGACAGACAGACAGACAGACAGACAGACAGACAGACAGAAACATAAGAGGGAGAGGAAAAAAGTACGACGTACCAAATGGCGCCATTGAACCACCACCCACAACAACAACAAAAAACAACAACAACAACAACAGTAACAACAACAACATCAAAATATGCCAACATTATGTGCTCACTTTTCCTGCCATTTCCTTCTTGACCAGGACAACGTCCGTGTCTCGCCCGTGTTGTAGAGATTCTTCGGTAAGCTCGCACAAACTGCGCATGCGTGCTAAATGTTGCTCCAGGTTCCTCTTCTGCTCGTGCAACACTTCTGTCTTGGAGGCTGTCACCTGGGCCAATTCGTTTAACGCCACTCGCTTTCGGGCTTCCACTAGGGACGACACTTCTTCAAACAAGGCTTTGATCTAAAAATAGAAACAAACAACAACAAAAATTCAACTTGTATGTTTTCAATTTACTTCCTGGCTAGTGTATTACTTTTTTTAAAGCTCAGTTGGTATCATGCTGGACTGCGGAGCGGAAGGCCAGGGCTCGAATCAGACGAGACGTTCTTGAATTCGGGTCGTTTAATGGAGTTTTTCAAGGCTCTCAGCCCATTTGACTCGGTCCTATCGAAGACTGGTGTTAAATTCGGAGGTCCCATCTCGTAAAATAACCTAACAGTGTTGATAGGGGCGTTAAACCAAAACGCATTAAAAAAAAACTTTTTACTCTGAATTTCTTGTATTATCTTATCTATCTCGTTTAGTTCTACAGAACAGAGTGCTGGGATTATGTCTATGAATGTGACCATAACAAAGGAAGCTTGAGGTTCAAGGTTAGGACCCGTGTGAGTACCCTTTTAGTTTTAGTTTTAGTAGAGGTTTTACGGCGCTCACAACTGCATAAGGTCATGTGAGCGCCAGAAGGTTAGAGGTGTTACAAGAGAGTAACAAACATAAAAAAGAAGAAGGGGAGATAAGGACGATAGATGTTTCATTGGAAAGAAGATGCAAACCATACCAGAGCACCCGCCAACCACCCACTGAGTACCCTTTTCAGCCTTTCCTGGAACAAACATATCTCAGTCAGCTGCTTCCTCCGCGATGAAGTGTCCAAAGTTCGAAATACAACACATTTAAACTTGCGTTTCATAAGGAGTCAAACCTAAACATATACAAAAACATAATCGCTTAAAATACTAGCATCGAATAAGCAAACAAAAGTTAATACACCAAACTTCCAGCATAATTTCGAAAAAATAAACATTTGGTCTCACAAGCGCTTTGAGAAGCCGGGAGCGGAAAGACGTATCCTTCCTGCAAACTGTTGCAAACTGATTATGACACACCAAGGCGTTCTCTCTTTTATAACCAAGTGGGAGAAAAGCTCCCAATTCACAAATATGCGTAATAGTTTCTTCAACAAAACAGTGTACGTGAGCAACGTTACTCACAACACCCCTCTCGAGCCTGTATTATAATATAAGCTACTATAAATAACTTGCCAACTTTCCCCCCGATATCAATTATATTATTATTCAGATATCACAAATCGAAATAAGAGCACAGTCATGAGGCTATCGATAGGGGGGTCACACATGTTCGCAGAGTGCGCCTCCGTTTGTGTGTACCTTTGTATATGGGTGTGTACATGTGTGTCTATACGTTTGTGTGTAGCCTCTGTGTATTTGTGTTGTGTTGGGTTGTATTGTGTGTGTGTGTGTGTGTGTGTGTGTGTGTGTGTGTGTGTGTGTGTGAA